GAAGGGGTACGGAAAGTTGTTGCGGCATTGAAGGGGAGAGGACTGTGGAAAAACACAGGTAGTGGTTTCCTCCTCTTAATTAATTCATTTTATTTATTTATGTCAAAAATATTCACTTAAATGCACTGCGTTTATAACTTTGTACTTACAGTAAGTTAAGAACTCGCATATAGTTAAATATATTTAAAGTAAGTTAAGAATTCGTGAATATAAACCAATATTTAAAGTAAGTTCAGAACTTCTGCAAAACCATTTCTCACTATGCATTTACTATTCTACCAATATTAAACATTTATTACCAAAACATAATAAATATTTAAAGATTATAAATTTATAAAAAGAAAACACCATTACAAATAATTTATTGGAATTGAAACGAAACTCCTGTTCAACAACCATTGGCCAATGTTTGAAACGTTGATACTTTCAGTGCTAGTGTTTACTACAGACAATGGAGCTAACCCTTCAGATGGGGGATCTAACTACCCACTCAAAGGGAAAAAAGGTCAGCTGTACGAGGGAGGTATCAGGGGGGTTGCTTTTGTGGCCAGCCCCCTCCTGGTTAAGAAGGTAACTGTTTTACACACATACACTAACATACAAACAAATGAACAAAAACATGCATAATAAACATTCACAAACATACACACAGGAAGAAGACATATATACACAACACATACACAAACCTAAACACACTTCTTTATGCAGATGCGCACAAAAACACAATAGCTATACCACACAAACATACAAGATATCACAAACATATACACAACACATACACAAACTAACACACATGTACATAATCACCCACTCAATGCACATAAATAGATACAAATGAACACATTAGATAACAGAAACATACACATATGACATCCAGACATAAAAAACATACATATTTACAAGATATACACAAACGCAAAATGTAGATACACATAGATGCATGACACCTGTACTCAAATGAATTATTATTTTGTTTAACATCTATTTAAAAGATGTTTATTTTTTATTTTTATATATGAGGACTAGCCTATACAGTATCATAATCATTTTTACATATCAATGTTTTATGTAAGTCAGGATTATAGTTTGAAGTCAGTGCCATGATCAGTAATAAGGTCAGGATTAGGGCTGGGGCAGCAAATTCAAATAATATTAATACTGTGTATCAATTGTTGAATACTAGACAACCTTGTTACCCTTTGGAAAATGGTGCCTGTATTTTGATAGGACTAGCACTGACTTTCATATTAACATGGTTGAGATAACTAGCACTGAATGTTACATAAAGAGAGTCAAGATAACTAGCACTAAATGTTACATAAAGAGAGTTACGATAACTAGCACTGAATCTTACAAACAGAGTGTTAAGATAACTAGCACTGAATGTTACATAAAGAGAGATAAGATAACAAGCACTGAATGTTACATACAGAGTGTTAAGATAACTAGCACTGAATGTTACATACAGAGAGATAAGATAACTAGCACTGAATGTTACATACAGAGAGTTAAGAAGACTAGCCCTGAATGTTACATACAGAGAGTTAAGATGACTAGCACTAAATGTTACATAAAGAGAGATAAGATAACTAGCACTGAATGTTACATACAGAGAGTTAAGAAGACTAGCCCTGCATGTTACATACAGAGAGTTAAGATGACTAGCACTAAATGTTACATAAAGAGAGATAAGATAACTAACACTGAATGTTACATACAGAGAGTTAAGAAGACTAGCAGTGAATGTTACATACAGAGAGTTAAGATGACTAGCACTAAATGTTACATAAAGAGAGATAAGAAGACTAGCCCTGAATGTTACATACAGAGATTTAAGAAGACTAGATAAAGAGAGTTAAGATGACTAGCCCTGACTTTTCTTCTGATAGGGTTACATCAACACAGGCCTGATTCACATCTCCGACTGGTTCCCAACCATTCTAAAGCTGGCTAAAGGCAACATGGATGGAACCAGGGATATAGCTGGCATTGACCAATGGAGGACCATCGGACTGGGACTTCCCTCAGGGAGAGATAACATTCTACACAACATTGACCCACTCTGTTACAGTGTTGATCATCCAGTCGGGAAGTAGGTCAATTTTCTTTGAGAACTGATATTTGGGTTAAACCCAGTGGGAAAATAGGTCAATTTTCTGATATTTGGGTTAAACCCAGTGGGGAAGTAGGTCAACTTTCTTTTAGGACTGATATTTGGGTTAAACCCAGTGGGAAAATAGGTCAATTTTCTGATATTTGGGTTAAACCCAGTGGGGAAGTAGGTCAACTTTCTTTGAGGAATGATATTTGGGTTAAACCCAGTGGGAAAGTAGGTCAACTTTCTTTGAGGAATGATATTTGGGTTAAACCCAGTGGGAAAGAAGGTCAACTTTCTTTGAGGACTGATTATTAGGTTAAACCCAGTGGGGAAGTAGGTCAACTTTGAGGACTGATATTTGGGTTAAACCCAGTGGAAAAATAGGTCAACTTTCTTTGAGAACTGATATTTGGGTTAAACCCAGTTAGAAAGTAGGGCACCTATCTTTGAGAACTGATATCTGGGTTAAAACCAGTGGGGAAGTAGGTCAATGTTCTTAGGAACTGATATTTTAAATCCAGTTCTTTGAGAACTGATCAGTGGGGAAGAAGGTTTCACTTTCTTTGAGAAAAGGTTAATCCCAAAGTTAATCCAAATGCTAATGTTTGATTAAATAAAAACTCTCTCTCAACAGTTACTCAAACATCTTTGACATCAAGATGTGTGCAGCTATCAGGGTGGGAGATTATAAACTTATTACAGGACCAGGTGAGTTGCCAGCTCCCCTCAGATTACATCCTCCCCCCCCCCCCCCCCCAACAATTACTTCCTAACCAAAAAACTGCAGAGAACAGGACTTTACTAAATCCCGCTGTTCAATTACTAATTGACACAAACATAATAGGGATAGGAGGGATGGTGTGGCCTAGCGGTAGAGTGCTAGACTGCTGACCTAGAAGTTGAGTTTGAATCCAGGTTCAATTCAGGGGAACGTCTCTGAGACGACCCAACTCTGATGGGGACCTAACTCACATTAGGGAAGTAAAGGAGGCTGGGCATAGTGCTGACCATTTTATCCTTTCATATGCCGAGGTAAAGAAACACATAATTCTACTTCATCTGCCCAATGGATAGCTAGGTCTAAAGAGGAATCTTTACTTTTAAAATAAAAAGACTTAGGGGTTGGGAATACTAATATGTTTAGAATAGGGTTATTCTTAGAGTTAGGGAGTCGAATATGGTTAGAAGATGTTTCCAGCATTCTACATTTTGCTAGTTTTCCTGTATTGTATTCAACTACTGTATAAAATGCTTAGGGAAAGTATTACCTGATTTGCTTTGCACTCTATCTCCCATCATGGGCATATTTTAAAATGCTGGGTTCATCACTTTACCAATATCATGTATATAATAGGTATTTTAAAGAGTGGAGATAATGATGGGGTGCGATAGGAGGGGGGGAAGGGGGGGGGGGGGGGGGGGGTAATGACCTAGAGACCCTAGTGTCAACACTTTAGTCAAGTCTAGAATTGGAAGAATATATACATAGAACATAATAAAAACATAATTCTCAACATTTTACACTCAAACTCACTACATGAGTAAATGTCAACATGACCCATTTTCTTTTTAAGCTTGTACTTGTGACATGTTTTTACAGTTAACTTTACTTGTATCATCAAAACAATCCAAAAAATCAAATGCTAATTAGAACCTTTACTTCTTCAGCAATAAGAAGACGAAAACGGAACAAAGCCAAGAGAAGACGGAATAAAAACAAGGCACCGATAAATGAAACAAAACTAATACAGTTGTACAACATTAAAAATGACCCCAATGAAAAAAATGACCTGGCCAAAAAAAGACCACAACAAGTGACTGAAATGCTGACCATGCTAGCACAGTACTACAAAACATCAGTTCCTGCTATGAAACCTATGAGAGACATTGTCAAACCAAAATTCAGTGCTTGGGGGCCATGGAGATAAAAAAAAACTTATTTTCAAAGTAGAAGAGTTCCACAAACAGTGCAATATTAGCCCATTAATCATCCTCATCATTAGTATGCAACATTGCTAAAGTATGCACACAATCTAAACATTGCACACAAGAAATAAATGCCTTGAAACAGACAGAAGTCACCCTTTTAACCCTTTAAAGATTCAAGATGCAATGCAACATTTCTCTAACTAAATGCAGTATTTATTTAAATTAGGTTGACTGAATGTGTGGGGAAAATGCAGTAATTCTTTAAACATGCAAGACAAAATCAATCATTTTGCCAAAAAAAAAACCTTTGATGCTTCTGAATTTCAATGCTGATGTACTAATTACTTCATTGATTTGTATATTTTGTACAAGAAAACTTAAAAACTGTGATGAAACAAAACACTGTTACATGTTTAGAGTTTTTTTCTTGATCAGTATATGCTCGGCTATGATAGCTTATTGTTTCATTTCTAATGTATCAATCACAGCTCTGAATGAATGAATGCTTTTGCAAAAATACAACACACTTTAGTATCCCTGTTTACACTAGTCCGTAGTATCCCATTCCCTCCCAGCGAGAGATTCTTACTGTTGTGACCAAATGCTACAGAGGGGAGAGAGGAGGTGAGGGGGAGAAAAGGGATTTAGCATTCACAATGAATAAGAAAAGCTTGAATTATATTTATAATTGCACTCACTTTCTGAGTACAAAACACAATTTTTTGTGTGTGAGATATTTATATTTTTCAAGTTCTTCAACCACATTCATTAGTGCAAACTTAGTTTTAGAATAACACATGGAATAAAGACGGCTGACCACTCTATCCCTTCATACGCCGCAGTCGTAGAAACAGATAAACCTGCCATATGGGCTGCCAGAAGTTCCTAATCCTTAAGCCATGGAACCTTTAGAACGCAATATTTGTACTGAAACTAAATAAACCACGCACAGTATGAAGAAAGAGGGACTTACAGTGAAGACGCCACAGTCCCCTGTAATGAGTCCATTGTTGTCAATGATGGTGATGAAAGGCAAATTGTGTCGCTTGCCAACCTCGTAGTCATTGTGGTCATGGGCTGGTGTAATCTTCACAGCACCTATAGAAGAAAATATGAAGAAAATGTCAATGCAAAAACAAACAAAAAACGTCTTTGTCTTTTAGCAATATCCATTTATCTTAAAACAGCAGTTTCTGTATATTCATCATAATCTTTTTTCATTCCTCCCCAAGACACATGGAGCGGGTGAAGTAGAGTTCATCTATTTCAGAGACCCCAGCACATGAAGGGCTTAGTTTTCCTCTAATGTGAGTTAGGTACCCCCTGGGACATTCTACTGACTTGTACCTGGATTCGAACTCCAGACTTTTGGGTTAGCAATCTAGCTCTCTACCATTAGGCCACGCCGACCATTAAGGATACTTAACATCAGTAAATGTAAGTATGTTGGTAGGGTGTATTGAAGCTTTTTTGGTTTGCTTGTACCATTAGCCAAACCCTAACCTTGACACTTAAAGCTATATCAACAGATCATTTTTATTAAGATTTTTACCTAACCTTAATCATCAGGGCTAAGGTATAGTTGATGACAGTACCACATATTCAAATGTGTTTACAGCTAACATGTAAGACATCAACTTTCAGTCTTTAACTTAAACATTCCTAAACTGGCATAAAAACCAAAACTGTGAAGGAAACAATGAGCACTGCACCAACCTGTTCCAAAGCTCATGTCAACAAACTCATCAAAAACAATGGGCATCTTGCGACTGGGAATGAATGGATGCTGCACAAATTTCCCTTGGAGATGTTTGTACCTCTCATCATTGGGGTGAACAGCAATGCCAGAGTCTCCAAGCATTGTCTCTATACGAGTGGTTGCAACAACAACTTCCTCATCTAAAAAACAATAGAGACACTTATAATTATTTCTTAAAAATAATTCTAAATAATTCAATCTTTTTAAATTTTCAAAGGACAAACTACTTAATCTTTTTTATTTGCTGAACAGAATATTGTTTAGTTTGTCAAATTACACAAGCGAAAATAACTAAATATGATGCTCTGGTTCCAAAAACAATACAATCAATAAAATTAAAAAATTAAAGGTTGATGAACTATCTAAATTATTTATTTTTTTAAATACAGTTTTATGAAAATATTTCTAAAAAGTGTTCATCAAAAATTGTTTAATATTCTACTAAAAATGACACTTCATCAATGACAACTGATAATTGTGAGTAAATTTTATTCTGCATGAAAGTTACTTTTCTAACATAAATAATTGTACCCTAGTACACTTTTCTCTACCTGAGTCGACAATTTTATAAGCGAATGAGACAAGGACTCCAAACTCCACTTTTTCACTGTAGCCAGGAACCTCTATCAAAGTTCTTCCTTCTATTTCTTTTTTGTCGACCTGAGTGTAAAAATATTGTATTAAGATCAGTATTTTACAAATATTTACAAAGGATATAATAACCACTGCTAGATTATGAGAATAGTAATAAACAGTTTACTTTTTCTTCGCAAAAACACATTTAAAATATAAATAATTTCATAAAATAATAATGATGGCAGACTACTAGATGGGTGTGAGTTAGAGAACTAGTTGTGTAAGGTGTTAGATCCTGAGCCTATCCAGATCCACAAAATATACAAGATAGCTCTGACAGAAGTAAGGTCACTGCATCCTTCTCTTGTAGGATGTCACCACAGATTCTGTCAAGACAGAGGCCAGTTCTGTCTGACTGGGGACCACAGGTCTTTAAAGGACTGTACTTTTACAGTGAGTGTGTCTAATCATGTATGTTAAAGTAAAGTTATCTTTTTGAACCTGGCGGTTAATAGAGTAGAAGAAGTAGAGTTCAATTGTATCTGTGACATCAGCATTCAAATGGATAGTCTGGTCAGTTCTCTGTCCAGCTGCCTTAACTATACTGTAGTGCAGCAGGACTTTACTACATCCCCTGTTCAATTACTAATTGAAACTAACTTAATAGGGGATAGGAGTGTACCATAGGTACTCATCACAGATGGGTGGACTCAGGGAAATCCCATAGCCTAGGATCTAATCTCCAGGTTCAAAAGTTAGCAGTCTAACAATCCGGCCACACCATCCAATAAATATTAATAAAATATGAAGCTCATGTTGAGTTGAGTTTACTAACGCCACTATCTGCACTACAGACTAACCTCAATATCTGAGATGGCAGATCGTAATGTGCATGACCAGTTGACAAGTCTGACACTTCTGTAGATGAGACCCATTTCATGGAGACGACAGAAGCCTTCAATCACACAGCGATAGCGGTCCTGTCAACATGACATTTTAGAAAATTTAACTTGTAACTTAAAAAATGTACCAACTTGTTGAACAGAAAAAAACAAAATGTTGACAATATCAATGTAAAAACAAAATAGTATTGAAGGAACACTTGTTTGTTCATAAGGTTCATTATTATATTAATGTGTTACGTGTTAAGGCTAAATGATACACTGATGTGCACAATTGATTTAATTCATGTGGTTATTTTTAAATTATAAATCTAAAAAAAAAGAATATCTAAAAAAAAATTATCTAACAAATTGCTTTCTATCCTAATATATAAAAGGCCATGTGCGCTCTTCTCTCTCTCTGTCCGCAAAATATTTTCGCCGGACATCACGTCAGAATCGGCAGCGATATATGGATACCTTTATACAGACTTTTGTTGAAAATATTATGTTAGATGTTTTAAATGTATAACCACAATTTTATTTAAAGAAGAAAAATAAAAAATAAAGGCGTATTCGAATGTAGAGAAACAGTATTATTTATGCAACCGGAAAAGTGTTTAAACTTGGGACAAGAACGCATTTAACAATGACGTCGCTTATTGTTTACACTAAAAAAAGAGCACGAAACTCATGACGTCGAGTTTAGAATAAAAAGAAATGAACTATTTCATTCAAATATGATTTAGAGCTATGTACGCTATGAAATGTATACAATACGATTTTCTCGGCCTAAACTTAAAAAAATTATTTTATCTATTTGGATTCTAGATCTAGAGATTCTAGATCTAGATATTGATCTAGATCTAGATATTCTAGATCATCTAGATCTAGAGATTCTAGATCATATAGATCTAGAGATTCTAGATCTAGATGATCTATAAAGCTAAGTTGTCGGGTGCCCGATAGGGCACTTTCCGGCGCTGCAGGCGCTTCAAATTTGGCAGGATCTTGCCTTTGGGCGACAGAACACGGGGGCCGGTTGGCCGAAAAGTCTACGATGAGGGGGTCAAAACTGACCTCGACTGACCGGCGCCTTATATGGGCGAATTAATTAAGCATTCTAATTCTCAATGTTTTCGAAAGCCTAAGCGAAGCTGGGCAGCATGCCTAGTTTATTAATAAAACTTATGGGGTATTTACATATAGACTTTTTACACAATAAAATGAAATAGAATAACAGGATAAAAAAGTTTTGTTAAATATAACTCAAGCATGAGGATCATGTATTTATCTGTTAGTTGACTAAATTTAAAAAAAAAAAAATTTATGGGAATTAAATTGCTTTTTTAAAATCTAAAGTAAGTTTTACAATATAATTCAAGCCAATAACAAAACTATCATTAATTTTTTTTTTTTAAATCAAAATATGAATATGAATATTAACTATGTTAATAAGACAATGCACTCACTTCATCCATTGTGAAGGCAACTCTATCCCAGTCATATGATCCTCCCAGCAATCTCAGCTGATCATAAATTCTGTGACCTTTTCTGGGAAACACAGACATTATCCGCTTTTAAATAAAACAAACTTTTATGATTGTTAATAGCAATAATACTAAATAGTTCAAAGAATGGCAGATGATCATAAACTCTGTGACCTTTTCTAAAAAACATAAACATTGTCCGCTTTTACATAAAACAAACTTATATGATTGTAACTAGAAATAATACTGAATAGTCCTAATAATGGTATACGTGAGCAGCTAAATAAAAAACACATTTCATCCTAAAGATTATTGTAAATGAATAAAATAGGTTCGTACTCATTTTTCCACTTCCAAACTTCATTGACAAAAGCCTCCCTGCCCAAGTCATGCCTGGTCTTATTCTGCTCTCTCCACAGTTTCTTCTCCACCACAACCTGTGTGGCGATGCCTGCATGGTCACAACCAGGCACCCACAGAACTGCTTTTCCTTTCATGCGATGCCTGGAAATCCAAAACAATATTTTGTTTAAACTAAAGGACAAATAATCTTGACATTAACTAACCTTTGTCCAAAATTAACCTAGGCTAATTAATTTTTTTTTGGAATTTACTAACACTGAGTCACTGCCAATATTAATTTGGTTGTTAGTTTGAAATACCATATAAATTTGATAAGTGCATTGCTTTAAAAAAAAAATTATCCCTCTAAGCTGCGCGATCAGACAGTAATTGTGAATCTGCCACACAGTCATGTTTTAAAAAAATACACGTAACCATCTATAAGAATTGTAGAAAACCGCACACAAAATAAATGTTTCACACAAGCTTTTCCCCTTAGGGCAACATTGATAAGACCCAATCCAAGAAGAATTAGAGACCTAACACTGTTTGAACCTACCATCTAGCCAAGCAGTCCTCCACAGCATTAGTGAGTCCATGACCAAGATGCAATGTCCCTGTGACATTTGGTGGGGGTATCACCATTATAAACTTGTCCTCATACTTCAAGTTCTTTAAATCTCTGCCCTGTGTATAATCAAGTTTTTACATTACTTTCCCTGACAACAAGAAACTATTAACATGTTAATCATAGTAGATTTAGCTTGTAGAATTTTTATTTAATAAAAATCAAAAAGTTTTTTTAATATAGGTTATTTACTGAGAAGCCAGAATCAATGGAGTGAACATAATTTGAAACTTAAAACAGAAAAAGCTGAGCCTGTACTAACACATGTGAAGAACCTAACCATAACCTGAACCTTAGCCTTAAGTAAAGGAATATCATTGCTCTGTCAGACTTAACATGAAAATAACACACAGGTAAAGTGATTAGGAAAAAAAACTTAAATTATGACTGAATGGCATTTATAGCATTAATATAGTCAGAGATAAGAAAAATAAGGACTTGACAGATTTACAAAGCTATTGTTTAAATAAGCCATAATAAGCACAATGAATAGCCTACTTACACCATATTCAGGCTTGAAAAAACCTTCCTTAACCCACCAGTCATACCAGGCAGCCTCAACATATCTGGGGCTATAGGCATCAGGCATTGGACATTTGGTATCTGGAACACATATTTAATTCAGATTTTAAAAAAAACACATAGATTTCTGTTACATAAAAAAACCCATTAAAATAAGAAGATGTATTTTATTAAGCTGTTCAAAAATTTGGATAACTTGGTACAGTACAGGGATTAGAAGTTTGAGTAAGAAAGGGAAGAATATAAAATAGGATTTCAAGCTCATGCATAGTCTATGCAACAAAAACAATCACTCTACCTTTCTTCTCTCCTTTTTCAGTTGGTCTATCATAGGTGATGACTTGCTTTTCTTCAGTTTTCTTTTTCTTGTTGGCCTTTGCCTACAATAACATATTAAACCTTATGTTAAAAATTTAGCTCTCAGACAAGGGATCAATGGATTTATCTTATTTGTTAACCACACAAGTGATTACCCCTTCACTAACTTACACCCATGTCAGCAGTTTACAATAGACCACTTACCTAAATATATTTTAAATAGTAAAAGAAAGCAATAAAATACACTTCCTGCATTTTTTATTGTACAATATAAACTATCAATTAGCAAAGAATTCAGCTTAAAGAACTGATAAACACAGCCAATGTAGAAGATACAAAAATTTCTGTTTATTGCTATTTGAAATAGGCCTACATTACAAGCATTTTTAACAGGTAAGATAAGGTCTATGGTCCCAGTAATTTATAATTTCTATGTAACATAATAAGGGTGACTGTTATGGTATGTATAATAGAATAGTTAACACAATAACTTTAAACTGTTATATTTAGAAGTAGTTAGACCTGTGTTTAATAATATATTTATTGCTTTACATTTTTTACATTAAACGTAAAAATTAAAACATGAGCGTAATCTCATAAAGAACACTTTAACTAAAAAAAATAATAGTTTATTTTTTTTTTGAGTAAAATATTTACTGTTGAGCACTAAAATCTAGCTCACCTAAAATAAATTGAAATTTTTACACAACACCCGACTTTAAACTTGCCTCTGATCCTTCATTACCACCTTTGTTGCTCTGCTTCTCTTGTTTTGCTTTAAATTTCTCCAACTTAGCCAGCCGACTTGCTTCCTTTTTAAGCTCCTTTTCACTCTTTTGTTTCTGAGGTTCCTCAGCAGGGGGAACTTGAGCTGCTGGATCTGACATTCTGACCTGTCTGTGTTTTCTTCTGTAGAGGACAGATGAACCACTTGTAAATCAATACGTTTTTGCAAACCTAATCACTACCTTAAAAAAAATCAAAATTTACTAAATTTATTCAAATTAAAGCATATGTGTTGGACTTTTTAGCGCAATTTCCATTCTGGAGAATTGCGATTATTAACTCGTCATTTCTGGGAATGGATGGATGTCCGCAGCTTTAAGTCATATTTCCTCCTCAACGAAGCAATATCGAGGACTAGTTCCAAAAGCAAATATGTTAAGCAAGTTCCACGGATGATTGTGGGCCAAAAAAATTCCCAGGATTCCTTCCTGGATTTCCCGGAAACAAATGCAGTTTTTGCTCCATATCTCGGCAACCAGACCACTTAGCGACTTGAAACATTTACCAATCGATTCCTGCCATAATTTAGACCAATATTGCCGTAGAAAGTTTTCAAAAATATCCTTTCGTTCGGTCACAAAAAATTAATTAAGAACATTTAAACTGAGCATCTTGCAGGCCTATGATGATTTAAACTGAGCATCGTGTAGGAGTTTATATTTATATGATGATATTTACAAAAAATAAAAAATTGTAATGGATAACATAAGGAAATTGCGCTTAAATTGTCACTAGACTTTTTATTAACTTGTTTTCTTATGCTGATAAAAATTTATTTTAAAAACAAAAGGGCAGTTTATGTCAAAAAATTTCTAAGTGACAGAGGATCTAAGATAATTAAAATCATCTAATCTAGATCTAGAGTATTAGCTATTTAGTAAGAAATTGTTATAAGAAAGAGTCTATTCACAGTAGGTTGGGAATAAGTCTCATGTCTATTGCCAGAGGGAAATGTTTTTAAAGGAGTGCACTCATACTGCAGCTTGGGTGTCCTTGACACATCAGTTCCATATTGTATGCTTTTGATTTTTTTAAAAATTGGTTGGGAACAAATGAGTAAATTATGCTAAAATCGAGAAAAATACGGACACAGTCTAGCTAGGGTCACCGTGAGTTCACATTGGTTCAAAAGCGTAGCGACTCTTCCCGGCGCCCGGACACAAACTTTCGATTTGCACCCCCCCCCCCTCAATAGTGTTTTGTTTTTTTGCCAAAATCCCTAGGCCCCCTAATATTTAATAATAAAAATTAAATTATTAGAATAGACTTGAATAGAGTGAATAGAGGAGTTATAGTTATAGACAAACAATAGAATAGAATCAAATAGACTGTGTCACTAGAATCTAGTCACACGGGACACAGATGAGATTGTGATTCATATGTGTTTGTGTCAGTATGTGAAACGTTGATTCACTTTCATTTCGATTACTTTGTACTTGAAAGGAAAAGCATTTCTAAGATCTGGTCTCGGCAAGCAAGCCATTATTTATTAAGAATATTATTACAAACGTACTCAACAAGGCCTAAGTATTTTCTAGATCTAAATCTAGATGTTATTAGCAAAAAAAGTGAGAGTATACGTTTTAAACTAATGGATTTAGTATAAAAAAAAGTACTAAAACATACTTTACTCAGTTTACTGATAGATTCTATCTGGATTGTAGCCGAGCCTAGCCTGCTCTGTAAAATACAAAGCATTGCAGTTTATAGCAGTTTTAAAACTTTATTGACTGCTGATTTCATCACCCACTATAAAAATAGTGCAACTATTGTCTTGACACGGTACTTAGTGCCAAAAGAAGTCTAATTTATTATGTTACACAGACTTTCGTCAAATATTTATCTAGTTCAACCGAATTATTTTTAGCCACAAGTAGGCCTAGTATAAAATATTGAAATCTAGATCTAGTTGCTAAATATTAAATTATAGGCCTACACAATTTAAATATTGATCTATGTTAGAATTAGACTAGTCGTCCTCCCAAAATGAGGCCACACACCTCCGAACTGGTTGTGTTTAGACTTTATTGTCGAGGTCTAAAGTGGGGTTAAAATGGTGTGCGTCAAAATGGTGACGTATTCTTTTTTGAAATACAATAAAATTGCTTTAAAAATAGTAATTTCCGTAAGAACTATAATAATTTATATCGTTATTTTTACGTCTGTGTGAGTATAACTTGGGGGGGGGGGGGGGGGCTGTTAAAATTATAGACTACAAACTTAATAACTGGCCCATTTACTTACTACTATGCATAAATAATCACCCAACATAGGCATTATGTGACTGGTACAGGACACCTTTGCAAATGTAAGTGTTTTTTTTTTTACTGTAATGATGGACAAGTAAAAAAAATGTCAAAGTTTTAAAGCATACATCTAGATCTTAATTTTTATCAATCCACTCTTGCACTTTCAAGGCATGGCACTATAGTTTCGAGTAGTCAATTTTAATAAATTTTATATATTTGATATGTTCTGCATCAAATAAGCCTGCAGTGGTTGTTTGCACAGTAAATAACCTATAACTTTAAGTGCAGGGGGTGGGGTGCTTTTGTTATTCAAAGAACAAAGACAAATAATAACCAATTTTCTTTTAATAAGGTCACTAAATTATAATAGCTTGTATGAGCAACCATTGCTTTTATTAAAGAAAGCAGTTGTTTTATTTTCAGTGCATTTAAAATTTGCTTCTGAAAAATGTGATACATATTTTACCAATTTTTTTGTCAGTAAACTGGTTTTGAGTATTAGTGACTAAATCTAGGTTTGTGTAATCAAACTTAAATGCATATTGAGTTAGGAAAGATTGTCAAGGGATAGTATCCATTTGCATCTACAATAACTTTTTGTTCGAAAGCTGCACATCTAAAAAGAAATCACCCACTCCTACAGCACAAAGGGATTCCATTCTGTCACTACTATAAATGAACTGACAAACACTGCAACAGAAAAAAAAATATTCACAAAACAAATTAAAATGAAATGTCTTATTTATTATTATTGTCTTTTAAAAGATAAGACAGACAGGGCAAATACATTATATAAGAGAATCATTGTACAATAAGACATGGCTGACAGTACAGGCAAAACAAATGCAAATAGACACATATTCATTTCTTACTCCACCAAACATCTATACACTATTTTCAGAAGTGACTAATCAAGAAACTATATTTAGTCACAATCAACATAATTTCACTTATTTCTTGTCATAGTTTTCTAACAAAAAAAAAAGCTTTATCTGTACAGAAATGTTTGTAGATATTTATTCTACAAAGATAAGGTATACAGTAACTCAAAAGTGTGGTTATTCTGTTTTATAGTGTTTAAAAAGAAAAAAAAAATTACCCTGTTAGGTGGGCATTTATTTTCTTTAATAGTGTGTTATGTGTAGAATAATTTCTGAAAGAATTCTGAAGAATATATACAAGTTTATGATGTAAGTAAAAAGTTTATTCATTTTCATAGGTCACATAATGGTTTTTATTCATGCATTATAAAATGCATTGAATTTACAGTAAGAATGTTGCCCCACAAACATAAAATTGTAATCATGTAAGGTTTCCTAAAGAGTAAATACAAAGATTAACATCTCCATTCTTTTCACATCAGCCGTTATGACAGTTCAAGGGTTAACAAGCAATATTCATGATCAAAATTTAATTTTAGATTTTTGTCAACCCAAGCAAGCATTTCCCTTCACCATTTCCAAGCTCAAATAAATGCATAGCAAAGAGAAACATCTGAGCTTAGACGAAGAAGATAAATAAGCGCATCAGGTTTGGTCCCCAGATGACAGAAGATTGACTTTAGTTAGAATGGAAATGACTTTTTTATTTTGTCAGTATTTGTGCACTCTTACTAGTGAACAGCTGTGATGTATATTTTTTAAATGGTAAATTACAAATTCTAGATGTTGATGGTTGTTTAAATCACAAAAATGTTTTCTTTAAATGTGCAAAGTTACATGGTAACAAGCAAAAACATGTACAACAAAATTATATACATTCTTTTTCTACACTTGCAGAGTAATGAAGAGGTTGATTTAACATAAATCTGATAAATATCTAGACAAAATAAAACCTGCATGTTGCTACAGAACTTAATAGAGAAGTGGATTCCAAAGTACCACAATTATAAATACTACCGAAAGATGATCCACCAGTCAGTTAAGTATATACCACCAATAATAAATTACAGTGAATCTCATCTTATTCATCACAGGTAATATATACAGTAAACAATGCAGTAGCTGACTTTGTACTCTACCTATCCACTACTAAAAAAAGAGCACTCATGAAAATACAGAAGATAACTGACATTTATACTTCTTTATAAAACATTTGTTCTGTCAACAAACAAACAGGTTAGATATATATGTTTATATAGATTGTTTAGTAAAAATATATAAAGGAATGACAATATTTCATACAATGTGAATTATGTAAAAGATTAATAAACACCTAGACAAAAAAAACTTGTGCAATCAGTTTAGAAATTTGAATTGCCTAAAACATGTTAATAATATTGTACTTCCATAATAATAAGTTCCATCTAAAATTTAAAAACTATTTAAGCCATGATTTGTACTGAAATAAAAATTTCTGGTATTTCAAAAGGTATAACCTTGAAATACAAAAAAAAAAAAAGCTAGTGAAAATTGTGGGAATCTAAACTACATAAGCAACAACACCTATATGTCGTGTTAAAATATTTTTGATAAAGATGACTAAATACTGTCAAAAAAGTGTTGAATAAAAAACAATGAACCTACTAACCAAAACATGTTGGACTACTGACATTGTAATTCAAAGTAAAGTAATAAGATAGTCATAATAAAGTAATCAATGACATCAGCAGTGAGATCACAACAAAAGATATTAACATCAGTTCTTTGACTTTATAAATGAGACAGTAAAACTGATTTTTCTTTTACCACCTACTAACAAAATTCCATACTTATTTTCACTAGACATAATGAATGTAATCAGATTTTGCAAGAATACTTTGTGCAAAAGCAATCTGTATGAACTAGCAAGTTTTAAAAAAATCTTATCGTCTAAAAAGCCGTAAGTCCCTAACAAAGTGAATCAACAAATGTATGAAAAAACCTAAGACATTTTTATACCCATGGCTGAACGGACTTGCTCATACACAACATAGCTTATACTAACAGCTGGTGCCACCTTGAGAAAGTTGGGTGCAATACCCCTGTACAACCCCTTGGGTCCATCATGCTTTAAGATGTACTTGAACTGCCCAGTCATTGTGTCCTTTTTAACAGATCCTGATTGGGCTGTGAAAAATGGCGATGTGGTTAACACTTTAGTCACTAAATAAACCATTACTTAGTGTAGATGTGCATACTATTATAAAATAAGCAGCGCTTCAAAAGACAAAACTTGTATACCCTACCAGTGGTCCTACAATGTATAAATTTAACAGCTAAAGTTAAAAATCATTGAATACAGCACCACACTAAACATTACTTTAATCTCACTATGTATGTTGCAAAAATTAAACAAGCTGAGCTATTCTTATTTATTCAGAATGTGTATGCCATATCTTGAATGTTCTTGGCTTGAAAACTCATATTTAAGGACTGATAATCTATGGTGCTCAGAACAAACTCAGCTATATATGCAAGACAACAACTGATTAAAATTTTCAAAGTAAATTGGTATAAGAGCATTTGGAACATTTACAAATAAAAAAAACAACTCACCTTGTGCTTGTAGCCTTGTTCTAACAAGTGACAGGGGATAACTGGCTAGTTGACCACAAGTACTGCTAACAGTTCCACACACCAATAAGGCCATAATGCCAGGGTCCTGGCCTTTATTTTTCTGCATGTAAAGCTTCTTTAAAGTCTGTCAATAAAAAATACTAACTATATAAAATCTGTACAAATTATGTAATATGCAACTGAAATATAAAAATAGAAGTTTACATTTATAGATCGTACAAGATTCTAGCAGTTATTTTTAAAAATTATAAATGCATACATAGACAAATATTTGTAAGCGTAAAAACAAAACACATTTTTCAGGCCTCGTTATCACAGAAGAAATTGTTTAGACTATAATGAAACACCAAATCTTGATGCTAAATCATAAATGTAGGCAGCCCTGTGTATAAACACTAAAATATTCTATAAGTTGTTTTAACATACCTCATAGATAGCTAAGTCAATACCAGCATATGGGATAATGCCAAGCAAGTTGGGGACATAACCTCTATAGAAACTGCCAAGTCCTTCATGTTTAGCAACTTTTCTTGCACAATCGAAAATTCCATTGTACTGACCAGTCTTACGGAGAGCAAGTCTTGTCTTTAACACCTAAAAGTCAATGAACATAAAATTAAATTATATAAAATTTAAAAAATAAAGAAAATATTAAGTATGAATGTTAAGAGTTGCACATTATACACACAATTTAACATGAATTGGAAGAAGAAAAACGTACCTCCATTGGATAAATCAAAGTCTGTGAGATAGCTCCAGCAGCTGATCCTGACAGAAGCCTTTCTATCACACCAAGCTCTTTATTTGAGTCACCCTTAAACAATGCTTTAATCTGTCGCAAGAAGAATTAGAGCACTTATTACAATGTACAAATACAGCATGCAACCTAAAACTCTGACAACAATGTTGACAACATCAAATAATATATCAAATATTATATCACTAAAAGTATGATCAATTTAATACCTGTTCATAGGCCATGAACTTGATGGCAGACTCCGGTGCAATTTTAATCACATTAACACCATTTCCTCTCCACAGAGACTTAATTCCTCCCTCTTCAAGCATTTGTTTGAACCCAGATCTGATAGTTAGGTTGTTTTTACTTGATCCATGTACCTGAGAGCATTTTTAAATAAATTATTAATTACTATTCATTTCTTGGACGCAAGATTTTATCTTCAATGTATGTCTTGGGTGTAGTCCACCAAGTATTAAATTTCTGCATATTTTTTTGTCATGTGTATTGTATTTGTCAAGTAATTTGTGGGTTGGAAACAAAGAAAAAAACTTAATAACAAAACAATATGATGCTCTCGCAAGCCAAAATGATAAAAGTGGTATAACCACACAGAAGGAAATAGCCCAAGTAAAGAGGACACACATGATAAATTTAAGTCATTCCTAGAGTACAGTAATGGAATAGTCTCTCCAATATGTGTATAACTGAAGAATGTGAATCATCAGTCTAAAACACGTGATGTATGAATAACTCATAATAAAAATAAATCCAAAAGTCTACAGTTTTATTTTAAAAAATGTATAGATAAACTATTACACACCTGCAACAAAACTTTCAACCTGTCTAGTGGTGCGGTGGCTGTTCTAGAAACAGCTCCAGCAGCTCCCCCTGCAACAAGGTGCCGCCACCACATACCAGTTTTAAGTTCAGTCTCTGTGAAATCATCTGGAACCAAACCATTCTCACCTATGTCTATGATCTATAAAAAAAATGGAGAGTTTAAATGGTTTATTTTGGTTAAGAAATGAAGTATAGAGAAACTGTAAAAATATACTATTTAAAAACCCAAATGATATGCCTTTTTAAATACTATAAAAATATGGTTAGTATCAAATACAATACCTCTTCAGAAATAAAACCATAATTCTTGTAAAAGTTCCGATGCTTCGGAGCATCAGCCTCCTCCATCTGAATCAGATCTATGTCTACAAACATCTGCATATGGCTCTCTCAGAAGAGTACTTCAGAAATAACTCAAACATGAATACACACAATATTGCACTTCTTATTTTGTAAAGCTTCCTGCCAGTTTTTGAAAGTTTCCTTAGAAAGATCTGTTTTTGAAACCAATCACATTGACTATATCCACACAGTTTTCACTTTTAAACTTCAACAGTTGTCTTTGTTTTCAAAGTTGAAAGTTTGCCTTTGGACTTCACAAATATTTACAACACTATGTTATCAATATTACACATAATACACAAGAGTAATGGGATTTGAGAATGTCATAAATTATTCTATACAAGTCACACAATTTCTTCCTTTGCTTCTCAAAACAGATTAATACTTATAGAAATTTGAGATTTCTTTCCTGAGTGAATTGATTTCAAGCTTTTGATTTAAAAAAATAATTTGTGACATAGAAAGACCAATGTAGTTCAAAACAACCTATATAACGGAATGACTAGGACACTGCTACCGTGGTAGCAACCTGGGTATAAATAACACGATAACACCTAACAAGTGTTCACAGGGTTCTAATGAGCCTAACCACAGATAGTTTGTTCTCAATTTTTCCACAAAAGTATGCAGCATGTGCTTTCGAAATAAGCACATTGTCACAAACAGCTGTACAGGACACAGATTTTACAGTTCATTGTTTCTGAAAGTTTTAGATTTTCCGCACCACCATACTTTGAAGATGTTTTGGAAATGGTGAAATATTTCAAATATTCAATTTAAAAATGTCAGGCCTGGTAAACTGTTTTCAGCATGTAGGATCAGTCATCAACAATCTGAAACATTAAAAGATAAGATTTACTTCATTTTAGAATTATTAACCTTTTAAACTGGCCTTTGAACAGTTAATATCAGTGTAGTGTCTAATCCTTGTAACTATTTTTAGGCAGAACTTTAAGAACCTTTTGCTAAAAGCTGCTAACAATGTATCTTTTGACTCAGTATGTACTGGTACTAGTTCGTACTTCTATGAAACATGTCAGAATTATCATATTTAAAATTTCCTCCATTTTATTTTTAACTGCTGCGTTTCTACTTTATTTTTAGATTAGTCGTTTTTGGAATAGCTTTTTAACTGGTTAGATCTGCCAGCAACTGACTGTTAGACATTTTCTAAATAAACAAGGCAACAAACACAACTGACTAAGAAAACTATTTTAAATAATTTAAAAGCTATGGATTATTTTAACTTTTGAGAAATTTGTAAAAAGCTGATTATTAGGCACCTTGTACTAAAATATCTATAACTATTACTATTTTAGGCATTATTAGTCTGAGACAAAATTATGAAGTAAAAGTAAAAGATTACTCGTGATAGAATCTAGACCTCTAAACTAGATAGGGCCTAATAGATTCGATAATGAAAAATTAAGTGATAGCCTAGCATAGAATGAAATAAATCTAGAATAAAGGATCATTCCAACATTCTAATCTAAAATGAATTTGGTTTTTGCTGAACTTAACTAAAGATTTACTTTATTTGACGTTTTAGTGTTTTCTGTAGTTAAATAAAAAACCAAAATCATTTAGTTGGTTATGTATTGTCACTGTAAATCTACTACATAAGCAAGACTTTAACTAATTACTAGGCCATATGCTTTAAAAAGTAGGCTATAGGCCCCTAATTTTATTTTTAAATTTCAACATCAAAGCTTTAAGTACAAATCACTAAAGCTGGGTTTTCAAAAGATCGATCACTTAATTTCTGTACAACCAACAAATGCTTGTCTTACTAAGGTGAAACATCAGGTTATAATAAATAATTAACGGTTAGCCTAAATTTACTAAATTTAGTAGGACTATCTAATAAAATTTATTTAGGCTAATAGGCCCACTAAGTTTTAATTTTATGTCTACCACTGTGATGGCTAAATTGACAAAAACACTTTCTAGATGTTTTATCCATGCCAAGTCAACAATGATTGAATTGTCAGTTGATTTGAAATTTTGGTAATCTATCGTTTTGGGTACGTAAAATCGCCCGCGGCTATTTATGTACGAAAACGTTACCTCATTGTCAAGGCTTTAATAGAAGTATATTGTCATACTTTTGTGTCAAATATTATAGATAAATGAATAATAAACATAAATCAATGGCTAAATATATCGATATAGGCCAGAAATTAACTTTAAACAGCAGTGTCTGAGAGCAAGATTTGCTATATAGTATAAAAACAGCAGCCATTTGTAAAATAGAGTGGCTTCCCCCTGAATCTGGCGCTAAAAGCTTATAAAAATAAAATTTAGACAAGATGGCTGCTATAGTAAATGAGCATGGTTGCATCTGTTGGAAACATCGCTAGTCTTCATTTATTACGGAAAAGTTTTAATTCAATTGTTTAAAAACAGGTAGGCCTACATAAATGAATCAAGGAAACATTTTTGAATTTTTTAAAACATAAATCCTCCTCAAAATGTGAATAAATTAGGGTAAAGGAGGGCGTTAAGAGCCACACTTTTTAGCACCTGTACATTTTTAAAGATTTCTACTAATCTAAGAATTTTTTAGTATTGAAAATATGGCAAAATTATTTTAACATATCTTACACAATATAAAAATAATAACAAAGTCTATTAAATATACTTTAAATGGGTTTAATTGAACATTGATTATCATACCCCCAAAATCAGCATTTGGGGTGAAAGGAGCCGGGCAATGGGGCAATAAGTATTATCTCCTAGTTTAGACTAACTCTGAAATAAAAATAATTAATTTCTAACCCCAAAATAGTTAGTGCTGTGTACACACACTTTAACTGATAATAGCTATCACTAGGCCCCAATGGGCCCAGTCTACAATTGATACAATTGCAGGTGTACATAGGGCCTAAGCCCTAAAGTCTAGTAGTTTACAGTAGGCACATTAGTATGCCTAGTGTGTAGCTAGTATACTAGTGTGTAGCTGTCCAAAGTTAACATTCTTGTATGTAAAAAGGGGTGGTACTAACTAATATGCCTTAATGCTTTCCCCTGATAAGCCATGTGTGCTATACATTACATAACATGACATGGAGGTGAGAAATGTTGAGGGGAGAGCAGTGGTACTGGTTTCCACTTTGTTCTCCTTGCTGGACCCTGAGGGCCATAAATTACATAAGGAGATGCTATCTCTGGTTGGCTGAGATCTAAGAACTAAGTCCATGCTACCTACAAAGGGATAAGTTTTATGGTGGGTTAGATACAGGTGGGGGCTGGGTATCATGGGGGTGAGAAATTGTGAGGGGAGAGCAGTGGTACTGATTCCTCTTTGGTCTCCACCCTGCTAGACCATGAAGGTCATATATTACATAACATGCCACCCCAGATTGTCTGAGATCTGTAACTGTAATCCATGTTACCTACAAAGAGATGAAGTTTTATGGTTGGCCAGAAACTGGTGGGGGCTGGGTATCATGGGGGTAAGACATTGTAAGGGGGGAGCAGTGGTATTAATGTGTCTGTTTACTTCCCTGCTGGACCATGAGGGTCATAAATTACATAACATACCACCCCAGATTGGCTGAGACCTAAGAACATTTATTCCTGTTACCTACAAAGAGATTAGAAGTTTTATGGTTGGTTAGAAACAGGTGGGGGCTGAGTCGGCTGTATTGCCCCTTAGGGGTAATAAGTACGTGTACCATTTTAAAAATTACCTTGCTAACATCAGATGGCTGAATTTTTACTTTTTAGCAGGTTAGAATTGTAGTTCTATCATTTAGACACAAGTCTGTTTAACAGTAAATACATTTTGTGTTAACTATTCCTATACCAGTGTCATATTCAGTGGTATAATAAATGAGAAACTTGCACATAGGGTTTCAAGAGCCACATAAGAGTATCTGTTATAACTTTTCTAAAGAGGCAAGCTAGTGGACAAAATTAATGTATTCATGTAGATTTAGTTATTATCTAACAAATAAAACCATTATGGTAATGATCAGTCAAGTTTTACTCTGATAATGATAAAAACTTTATAGCATGGTAAAATGGGACAAATGTCGGCCATTTTGTTTTGACACCAATAATCACTGTGCAAAAAAAATTCACCAAAATAAAACTTTTCTAGCCATAGCTATAAAAATAGTGTTAAAATGTACAACAACCAATACTCTAATACAGGAACAAAGAATTGGCTTGAAAAACTCATTTGGTTTATTACAAAGTGAAGTTTCCCAAGTTATGTCTAATTGGAAAAAAAGTTCACAAAATGGTTTTATGGAGATGAGAAATTTTAGGGAAAGAGCAGTGGGATTAAATCCTGTCTCATCCTCTCCCTATTGGACCAAGTGGGTCACAAATTACATAAAATGAATCCTCTGCTTCTCTGTTATCAAAGAACAGCAGTGGTTGTTACCTCAGAAGTAGATTAGCAGTGTTATTGGGGGTTTTGTGGGGGTGGGGTGTTGATTGGGGCTTAATACCACACGGCTCTTAACGCCCTCCTTTACCCTATTAAAATTTAAGGAGTCACCTGTTTTTCACATTACAAATCGCGGGCGATTTTACGTACCCAAAACGATAGATTACCGAAATTTTAATTTAATAATTTCAATTGATTTGTGATGGTGAGATTTTAATGTATCAATTCCATGGCGTAGGCGGCCGTAAACTCACCAAAATGCACAAGCATAAAAATCTGATATCTACGTTATAATAAATAGATCTAGACTAGGTCCAACACTTGACGAAATTATTGCGACGCCTTTTAAATCCAGTCTCAGTGAAGTCCAGGTCTAAAGACCTAACCTAAATCTAGAA